CATTTTGTGCCCGTTAGGCGTTTATGATTAGCCGTGGCGCGTAGGCCTTGTTGTTTAGAGCTCCCGTGTACACAAGCCTTCTTAATCCAATATCAATTACATTTAACTTAGCGTTAGAATTACGTTTTCCTGGCACTGCGGATTATCTCGCTTGAATATGCAATCATGAATCCGTCGTTGGCAATAGTTTGTAAAAGGATTCTTCGTCGTCGCATTTTAGTTTATGTAATCGTATATCATTTGCCAATTCCCGAATCATCCAAGACAAAATATCAACTGGATGGATAGCTGTATATATATTTAATTTCATATCAATACTGTTCCAGGTGTCGCAGCTCGACAACCAGTGATCCTGGAATGCAATTTTTCTTATTTTCACTTCATTTTGTATATGCACAATGTGTATTTTCAGTGTGGTGACAAAATAAATTACTGAATACTGAACAGTATTGTTGTTTTCAAAATGATTATGCCTTGTTATTTCCTTTCCTTCCCCTGGAATAATTACAAAAGATTCGCAAAATAAGCGAAACTATACGAAACTGTTCTGTTTAGCTTAAATACTTACAACAGATAATCTTTTTAGGAAATATATATATAGATAAAAATGACGTTTTTGGATACAATTGAGAGGCTCGATTAAACAAAATCCGCCGCGGGTCACAAATCCTTGAATTCAGCGTCAACAGCTAATTTTCAATCCGCGAACGACGTAATGAAAGTCAAGTATACGATCAAAAGGAAATTATGAAACCGCAGCCAATAGAAAATGGTTTAGCAAAAGCACTTTGCATTGAGATCACCAAGGGTGCATATTGGTAAAGCAATTTCCCGCAGCGTGTTATTTGGTACTCCCGTAGTATGTGTACCAGGTTAGGATTAGGCCACAATTTTATTTCGATTTTCCTCATTTTAGTTCTATTACGAGTCCGGGGACTGTCTGTGTTAGCCAAGTGTATAACCCCTGCCCATGGGATTCAGTCCCTTTACACAACTTGATGTAGAGTAGGTGAACAAAATTAGTTACCTCCCTTTTGGTACACATACTTCTGGAGCGCCTGTTGTTTTGTCTTTTTTTCGAACACGGCTCTGTACAAGTCGCCACTATTATTTAACCTTCAGCCAGAAATTTTCTAATGGGGGGAAGGTCTGGCATTTCTGATTCTCAAGTTAGACTGTAACAGGTAGCGGATCCGGCCGGAGGCCAAAAATCGTGGGTTTTAACAAGTCTTGAGAGTATAAAAAGCGAAGGTCGGAAAACGTAGATTTCCAAGTGTTTTGAAGGTCTAATAAAAAACGGAGGCAGAAAAACGTGGGATATCAAAAATCTTGCGGGTCTAAAAAGCGGGTACAAAAACGCTAAATCGTTACACTTGATTTGAAAAATATACGACCCTCAAAGACATTGGAAACACTACAAACGAAACCCAGAAAGATTCTTTTGCTTCTAAATCTTGTAGATTTTTGTTTATGAATGGTTGCTTGATTGGAGCCTTGTTTATAGCGCATTTATAAAGTCTTGATAAACTGTTCCATTTTGTAAAACTTCACCTCGGGTTTACTAAACAATGGGAAAACGAGAATACCGGTCGAAGACCGAAGACTTATCGATCGAAACTGCGGTTTCGATTCATGACTCTATAATGACACCGCGTGTCCCGTCACTAATTAATTGATAACTCGCGCTAATTATACAACATGAATCATCCAAAAACAATAGGCTTCTGGTCCGAGATATGATAAATGCACATGCAAAATTTGGAGCAGATTCAACCCCGCCTTCGTGAGATATCGCGTGCATCTAACAGACGAACAGACAAATACCTAATATCTAAAGATCGATAAGTAACAAGAGAAATTTCTGTCCAGCCAAAACATACAAGATACTATAAGTGATAGCTTGTCTAGACTCTAGAGCTGACATGGACAAACTACGACCCGCGGGCCAAATCCGGCCCGTTGGTAATTTAATCTGGCCCGCCTGATGCTGCCACCAAAAAAAATAAAACCAAATTTTGATGTTTCAGCTAAAAAAAAAGCCCAAGGAATTTGTTGAGATTGCTTTTAAATTAAGTTTTGGCAAAAGACTGGTTGTTTCCGAATTTTGCTTTTGTAACACTGTAAATATTAATCATAAAATATAATTTTTTACGTCACGCATACATGGCCCGCCAGTCTAGGTGGGCAAATTTTGGCCCCTGGCTCAAAAAACACGACCCCCCCCCCTCTGCTCTAGAGCATAGGTTCTCAAAGTGTTCCGTACGGAGCCCCAGGGATCCGCGACAGAAACCTAGGGGCTGCCTAATTTTGTAACTGCTTAAAAAAGCAGTAACAGCATTAAAATTTGACAACAGTAACATCGAAATATGACAACAAGGCGGTAATTTAAATATGACATTATAAACAGTAGCACAGCTAAGATTTTTTAAATTGGAAAGGATGTCAAAATGAGAATCGGAAATCCCCGCGCAACATTTTTCGCAATTACGGCACTCGTTAAAAAAGGACTTTTCAAGCGGATAACGAGTTTTCTGTTACGTAAAATTCCCTTCCGATGCGAGCATTTAAAATGTATTGTCATATTAATTTGATGGTGCTCATCGTTACTTGCCGTTAAGTCGAGATTACTGTTACGATTACTAAAATGAAAGAATATTATCTCCTCATTAATATAAAATGAGTGTTAAACAGCCAACTATAAATGGATTGGAATCGTATTTTGCAATCTCGGGATTCGTCAAGTTTGAGTTGATCATTCAGCACTCAAGAATATTTCTAAGCAATATATCGCCATTGAAAAAATCTCCAGGTCGGCGTTAAAATCTCCATGAGTACGATTCACGATTGCACAATCCATGACCGATGCGGGCATATTTAAAATGCCTTAATTGTGTTCAATGTAACCTGCGGTTGCGTCGACTTACGAGAATATAAAATTCATTTCTACAATGAAAATCACTGGAACAAAGTCAAGTGAACGAAGTTGTTGTGAACTACCGTATACCCTGAACAACGCTGTTATTATACAATATTAGAAGCAATGTCGGTCTGCGCACAAAAGACAGTACCTACTATCGATCGTTAGTTTGTTATATTTGAATATATTTGTGCCCGTCCCGATTAAATCATAATCACGAGAATATCGGTCAAAGACCGAAGACTTATCGATCAAAGGTTAGGGGATCCCCCAAAACAGCGCTCTTACTCCACAGTGACACCTTGTGTCGCATCACTAATTAATTAATAACTCGCTAATTATACGACATAATTCGCCAAAAATCAATAGGCTTCTGGTCCGAGATAAGATGAATGCACATGCGAAATCTGGAGCATATTCAATCTCGCTTTCGTGAGATATCGCGTGCATCTAACAGACAAACAGACATACAGACAGACAAATACCTATCAACATACTTACCGATTAAAATTGATAAGTAATGACTGATTGAGTGGCAGTTTACAGCTATTTAGAGAATTCGACAAATTTGAGCACGTGTTTAGCGATTTTTATTAAAAGGAAGGAGGTTCGACCCAAAATTCATTATTATGTTTATCTAGTGTCAAATTTACAGACTTATTTGTATAGAATTTATTTGTGAAATTTGGATTTATTTATGGACTGTATTACATTAACCCTATTAAAAAGGTTTAGCATTTAAATTAAGTAAAGTAATTGTAACTTACTTGGGAACAATAATCGCTGGGTGTTTTTTTATTTGTTCGATTTTTAAAATTCATTGTGGGGCTCCGTGAATAATAATCAACCTCATTAGGGCTCCGGGACACTTGAGAACCCCTGCTCTAGAGCCTTGTTTGAATGAAAGTCTTTCATGAGACTCATATTAGTTAATACAGATCAATAATAAAGTCAATAGAGTTCAAGAAAGGTTCCAATTTCCATAAATAAGTCTCTGAATTGACTTCGATTCAATACACTACCCTCTGCCGCACACACAAAATTCCTTTTAAAACAGAAAAGCAATTATCTTTCTATTGTTTTGAACAACCTTTTTACGCATTCAATTTGAACAAGGCTCTGCAGGTTTCCACTGATAATATTTATTCTTCTTTGAAATCATAGTCGTGGGTACAGAACAAGCCTATTTCAATCAATTTCTGTCTCCGGAATTATTTTCAATTTGAAGGTATTCACCCGTGCAAATATAAAACATGAAAGGAATAGCAAGACACAAAAGCATCTGCTGTGAAGTTTCATTAACATTGTTCAAAGCACGTTAGAGATCTCTTCCTGACGCGGTAACTGTTCAAAGAATACACGAAAAGAAATCAACTGTGACCTCAACATCTGCTGGAACTCCCACTGAAGTTCGTTAAAGCAGGTTTGAGATATCTTCCTGTTGCGGGAATCGGTAAAAGTACTGCGTTTCCTCTCTTGGCGATTGGAAATCAGCAAAACATCTTGATCAGAAGACGATTTCATAAATTTTTAAACATTCCTTTTTCGACTTCGAACGTGCAATGCATATAATACGGCTTGCACAGGTATGAATTGATTACCTAATGATATGAACTGTATTTCAATAACAAGTATTACATTGACATACAGGGTGTCCATATTATACCTTTGAAAATTCAATTTTGTTATGAAGTCAGTTCTCAATATATCCTAACCAAGTTTGTTGATTTTTAATCTCACAGATGTATTTAGAATGTAAAAATACTTGAACAATTACTGATTAAAAAACAACAAACCTGGTTAAGATATATTGAGAACTGACTTTATAACAAAATTGAAATTGCAAAGGGTTTTTATGAGCATCCTTTATAATGAATTACCTTTTACCAACCACTTTTAAGTGGCAAGCCCATCGACACCTTGAATTTACAGTGCGATGAAGCTTGATTTATCCAGGTGCTATGTACGGTTTGTGGTTTTTGTTGACTTTCCATCATTTTTCAGAATAGGAAGAACTTTGTTGGTTATACAGTGGTCAACTGTCGAAAATCATCCTCAGTCCAAGTTCACGTAAAAAACAAGACAAAGCTGATCTTACTTTATTGAATAAACTATTCTACAAAATCGATAAATGTACATTTGCATGAGAAACGCGGGTGGTGAATAAATGAAGCATGAGGTAAAAGCTATTGTACTTTACGATATTTGCATCCGCTAAAAGGTAATATGCAAATTAGTCGTGATATGCAAATTAGTTGAAGTTATACTTGCTTGGATGGAGGTGGAGTCACGACAGTTAAATATTTTTCAAATGAGCATACGACAAAATTGATATAATATTCGCAGTTAATAGGATTGGTTCCATTACATTTGAACCCACGACAATTGTACCTGCATACTATTGCACCTATGGAATTTTTTTTGTTTTACGGATATTTGAACCCATACTAACCCTAAACCATGGGTTTTTAGCACCCGCATATAGATTGAACCCGCGGATATACACATGGGTTCATATGTACGTGGGTTCAAATGTACGGTCACCTATATAGAGTGTTAATGAAAACATGTTACAATATCAAAAATTTGTTAGGAAGTCAGTTCTCAACATATCTTAATTAGCCAGGTTTGTTTTATTTAATTCGGTGAATTTAAAAAAAAAACGATATATAAAGGTTGTCCATACCGTCTTCAAATTTATTAAAACGCCAACTGGAATTTAACGATACCATGAATTGTTTTGGCCCTCACAGATGTATTAAATATAGTACAAATACTTCAACAATTACTGATTAAAAAACATCAAACTTGCTTAACATATATTGAGAACTGACTTCATAACAAAATTGAAGTTATAAAGGGACTTTATGGACTCCCTGTATATACCCACCATTCGTTGCACGAAACACATCAAAGTTATTTTACCTAATTTAATACAGGACTTTAGAAACACCCTGTATATTATAGCTATATAGTCAGTCAACTTTAGTCGGCCGTAACTTTTCTCAGATAGGATCATCCTCCCGAAAGAGGGCACGCGACTTTGCTTTGAGCATAATTTTCTGAAAAACAACCAAAAAATATTCAAATGTATGTCGACCCTGTACTGTACCAAAAACATAACTATTTTTCGTTGCCTCGGATTTTTGTACAGTAACGGTGTATAATTTTAATTTTTCTTCGCAGGTATTAAATATTTGAATATATACATAATTACAAGAAATTGCTCAACAGCTCCGATGGAAAGCCTTTTTTTCCATAAACTATTCTCTCGGTGAATGCTTTTATGTTTGCAACACCACATAAAAATTGTTTTACATACCGGGTGTTAAAAAAGTAACACAAAATTAACAGAATTTAAGATTAAATGTTACTTAAAACATTAACGACTGACACCTTTTAACAGTATTGAGTTACGGTGAAATGCCATTTAAACATTTTACGACTAACGCTTTTTAACAATTACTTCTTTTAACGTTGCCATGACGAAAAATGTCACCTTAGTTTTGCGTAACTTTTTTAAAACAATGTAGTATAGATCACAGTGGTTCTCAAGCTTTTTTCTTTTGTGGCCCACTTTCGTTGCACAGAAAAATTGTGGCCCTCAATTTTCATATGCAAGGAAAAAGTACAAGAAAAAAAGCAAAGATTGGCACTTTCACTTTAATAATTAAAATTACCATTTGGTAGCAAACAACAGCATTCATTTCTAATACAAATAAATTTAACTAATTTATCAATAGGTCTAACAATAATAAATTTGTGGACCACCTGAAAATGTTTCTCTGGTCATCAAGCAGTGGGCCATGGCCAACTGGTTGAAGACCGGTGGTATAGAATATAAAAAATAAAATATTTTTATTGACAATAAATACAATTATGTACATCACACCTAATATTAGCACTTATACAGAAAGGCATTCAAATAAAAAATTTGTATTTACTACCATTCCTGCATGTGATGTTAGTACTGCAAAATAAATTACTGTTTATAAAACTGCAATTCCTTTTTTAATGGAATTTTGGGTAAAAATTTAGATTCTGATACAGGTACAATGTAGTTTAACAGTGGTAAAAAAAGAAAAATATATTTGCATATCTTGGAACAACATTTTTAAAATTTTGAATGTTTTTGGGCGAACTATTTAGATACTCAATCAATCCACAAGATTATGGATGTCTCGCTGATATATCACAACGAAAGTCTTGTTATATTCCACTTTACATAACAATTTTGAGAATAGTTTTGTTAGTTTGCGACTCGAATTTTGTAAATTGAATGTGCATGTGAGAATCCATACCGGAGAAAATCCATACATTTGTGACATATGTGGCAAATGTTTTGTGTGGCTCAGTACTTTGAATTACCATATAAGAGTTCAAACAGGAAAAAAGCCATAATTTCAATGTTTATAATCGTGATGAATTATTGAAAATCTGAATCAATATAACAAATTGTCAGATAAATTGTACTTTAATTCATCGATTTTTTTTTGTTGCTTCGTCATTATTACTTAAAAAAAATCCAACTGCGGAGTAAAACGATATAAATTCTGCTGACATTGCGCATTTACTTCCCACATTTTTGCATGGTTGTGAACCCGCTGTTATCAAACCTTGACAGTTATATGCGACTAAATTCGTTCGTCAATGTATAAGCTAAACCACTTTTCCCATTCACGGAATGTTTCTTCCTCATATAGGATTTTTTTTGTTCTTGTGAACTTAGTTTTGGTTTGTGCTTGCTGTAGTGTTACTATTATTTATAGGTCCTTATTCTGAATAATGTATTATAGTGATGATAATACTTATGTATGTATACATTATAAACTACTCAAACTCTACAAAAAAGCCAGAGTGTGAGATACGCGTAACTATAGCACAGGAGTCCGTTGACGATAGAAAAAAAGTCAGAGAGGAATAAAGAGATTTGGAAGACGCAAAGGATGAAATTTGACGAAAAAGTTCGGTAACAACATTCACATTTGCGACTCCGATTTAAGATCGATATTTTTAAAAACCAGGTGCAACTAACTCGCCGAGAACCAGTGGCGTATCTAGGGTGTGGCAGCCATGGCTCGTGCCATGTGCGCCGTTTGGACAGGGGCGCAAAAAAGGAGAAATATTTCAATCGTTAAATGTTTCAATAAAATAATTTCGAATTGGTAATACCTGAAACTTGTAGTTTTACTCAAATAATAACGTACAATTAACTCATTCCCATGAGAGTCATTATAAATTGTGAACTAACTATCAAGGGGGGCGCATTTTCAAATTTTGCCATGGGCGCAATTTTATGTAGATACGCCACTGCCGAGAACGTGCTGAAAATATGGGCAATCTTCGGACTTTAATGTGTAAGAGATCACTGTTTTGATGAATGCGATGTAATTTGACGACAACTCTTTGACATTGATTTTTGCTGGGAAGGGAAGGATAAATAGGCATCATTAGACACAGATAGGCCTCTGGGACGATTTCCTAAATCGTTTTCCTATTGTCAAACTTATGTGACGAATTGAGCAGAATTTGAAATTGCGCCAACGCGGATTTTCCGTGAACTGATTTTAGCAAAATCGTCTTCAACGACGGTTTTTGTTTACATGTGTTTGTCCTTTGTTTTCTTGTTGATCATTTTTAGATTTGCAAATTAAGATGAATATGTAATCAAGTGTGTTGGATAAGCACTAGCATCTTTGAAAATCACGAAAATAGTAGGAGATTGCTCGTTGTTTACAACACTGTCGTATAAGTCATTTTTAATTCCACTCTTTCTCATTGGCGGAGTAATCAAAGAACTGTTGCCCTGACAATAGTTCCCCGTAATTACATCTGCGAGAAATACTCTTCGGTGCCCAAGCTGATTTGGTAGGGCGTAGTTGTCCGAATATTGAGCAGTGGTTGCAAAGTATACTCCCCGTCCGAATACAGTAGCTGGAATAAAGCATACAGTTTATTGGACATTGCTGATAAATTCCGTAGACTACTCTATGTAAGATAGGATTTACATGTTTATACCGTGAAAGGATAAAGGATACGGCTCAATTATATGGGGAACCGTGGTCTCTCATCAGGTTATCGGTCCATGTCGGGAATGGCATTGGTTAGCCAGTCATTTGTATTTAGATGCATGGACTTGATGGTGGAGGAAACCGTTACCGACCAGAGGTTACGTAAACCACCCTACGGCGGCGAGGAATCCAGAAATACTCTCGAATATAATTTACACCGCATGGGATTCAAACTTGCGAACCCACGCAGGGTAATCAGAGGTGCGGTGGCAAATGTATTCCTAACGCTTATAACGAGGCGCCAAACCGCCACAGTATGTAAAATAACATGTTTAGAGTGCACGAAGGATACAAATAGGAGTTCCACAATATTATATTCCAGTGGTTCCAAGCCTGGGGTCCCTGGGGCGTCGGGGGTCCACAGAATTAGAGTGGGGGTCAATGATTTTTACACCCCAATATTATTGTTATAACATGGTTCTCAACCTTGGGTCCTGGATAGTTCACAGAAAGATTAGAGAGGAGAATCAAAGATTTTTGCATGCATAAAACAATCCATGATATAATCCAAAATAGTTAAGTAATGCAGGCTGGTGATAAAGACCGAAAAGGAAGTGATAAGACCAACCAAACTCGAAATGACTCAGATGGAGATTAGATAAATTAATATTATGAACCGATTTAGAATCCGGGTGAAGCTATAGTTGCATAACAAAAATAGATGAATGTTGCATATCTGTTTTGGTTATGTATCGTGAACTATATTATAAATATCATAATACATTTCAAATATGGAAAACGAAGTGTTAGTCACAACTGTGGAATAAGTGGGGCACGTGGGACGGGTGGGGCACGTAGGACAAGTAGAACAAGTGGGGCACGTAAGACAAGTGGAGCACGTATGCAAGTAGGACAAGTGTGGCAAGGTGGGACAAATACGGCACGTAGGACAAGTGGAGCACGTATGCAAGTAGGACAAGTGTGGCAAGGTGGGACAAATACGGCACGTAGGACAAGTGGGGCACGTAGGACAAGTTAAGCACGTGGGACAAGTAGAACAAGTGGGGCACGTAAGACAAGTGGAGCACGTATGCAAGTAGAACAAGTGTGGCAAGGTGGGACAAATACGGCACATAGGACAAGTGGAGCACGTATGCAAGTAGGACAAGTGTGGCAAGGTGGGACAAATACGGCACGTAGGACAAGTGGGGCACGTAGGACAAGTGGAGCACGTATGCAAGTAGGACAAGTGTGGCAAGGTGGGACAAATACGTGCTCCACATGTTAGCACGTGTTACAAGTTAAGCACGTGGGACAAGTCACAATACGTGCTCCACTTGTTAGCACGTGTCACAAGTTAAGCACGTGGGACAAGTAGGACAAGTGGGGCACGTAAACCAAGTGGAGCACGTATGCAAGTAGGACAAGTGTGGCAAGGTGGGACAAATACGGCACGTAGGGCAAAGTGGAGCACGTATGCAAGTAGGACAAGTGTGGCAAGTTGGACAAATACGGGCACGTAGGACAAGTGGGGCACGTAGGACAAGTTAGGCACGTGGGACAGTAGAACAAGTGGGGCACGTAAGGACAATGGAGCACGTATGCAAGTAGGACAAGTGTGGCAAGGTGGGACAAGTACGGCACATAGGACAAGTGGAGCACGTATGCAAGTAGGACAAGTGTGCCAAGTGGGACAATAACGGCACGTAGGACAAGTGGAGCACGTATGCAAGTAGGACAAGTGTGCCAGGTGGACAAATACGGGCACGTAGGACAAGTGGAGCACGTAATGCAAGTAGGACAAGTGTGGCAAGGTGGGACAAATACGGCACGTAGGACACAGTGGAGCACGTATGCAAGTAGGACAAGTGTGCCAAGGTGGGACAAATACGGCACGTAGGACAAGTGGGGCACGTAGGACAAGTTAAGCACGTGGGACAAGTAGAACAAGGGGGGCACGTAAGACAAGTTAAGCACGTGGGACAAGTAGAACAATTGGGGCACGTAAGACAAGTGGAGCACGTATGCAAGTAGGACAAGTGTGCCAAGGTGGGACAAATACGGCACGTAGGACAAGTTAAAGCACGTGGGACAAGTAGAACAAGGGGGGCACGTAAGACAAGTGGAGCACGTATGCAAGTAGAACAAGTGTGGCAAGGTGGGACAAATACGGCACGTAGGACAAGTGGGGCACGTAGGACAAGTGGAGCATGTATGCAAGTGGGGCACGTAGGACAAGTTAAGCACGTGGGACAAGTAGAACAAGTGGGGCACGTAAGACAAGTGGAGCACGTGGGACAAGTAAAACAAGTGGGGCACGTATGCAAGTAGGACAAGTGTGGCAAGGTGGGACAAATACGGCACGTAGGACAAGTGGAACACGTATGCAAGTAGGACAAGTGTGGCAAGGTGGGACAAATACGGCACGTAGGACAAGTGGGGCACGTATGCAAGTAGGACAAGTGTGGCAAGGTGGGACAAATACGGCACTTAGGACAAGTGGGGCACGTATGCAAGTAGGACAAGTGTGGCAAGGTGGGACAAATACGGCACGTAGGACAAGTGGGGCACGTAGGACAAGTGGGGCACGTATGCAAGTAGGACAAGTGTGGCAAGGTGGGACAAATACGGCACGTAGGACAAGTGGGGCACGTATGCAAGTAGGACAAGTGTGGCAAGGTGGGACAAATACGGCACGTAAGACAAGTGGAACACGTATGCAAGTAGGAAAAGTGTGGCAAGGTGGGACAAAAACGGCACGTAGGACAAGTGGGTCACCTAGGACAAGTTAAGCACGTGGGACAAGTAGAACAAGGGGGGTACGTAAGACAAGTGGAGCACGTATGCAAGTAGAACAAGTGTGGCAAGGTGGGACAAATACGGCACGTAGGACAAGTGGAGCACGTATGCAAGTAGGACAAGTGTGGCAAGGTGGGACAAATACGGCACGTAGGACAAGTGGGGCACGTATGCAAGTGGGGCACGTAAGACAAGTTAAGCACGTGGAACAAGTAGAACAAGTGGGGCACGTAAGACAAGTGGAGCACGTGGGACAAGTAAAACAAGTGGGGCACGTAAGACAAGTGGAGCACGTATGCAAGTAGGACAAGTGTGGCAAGGTGGGACAAATACGGCACGTAGGACAAGTGGGGCACGTAGGACAAGTTAAGCACGTGGGACAAGTAGAACAATGGGGCACGTAGGACAAGTGGAGCACGTAAGACAAGTTAAGCACGTGGGACAAGTAGAACAAGTGGGGCACGTAAGACAAGTGGAGCACGTATGCAAGTAGGACAAGTATGGCAAGTTGGGACAAATACGGCACGTAGGACAAGTGTGGCAAGGTGGGACAAATACGGCACGTAGGACAGCACGTATGCAAGTAGGACAAGTGTGGCAAGGTGGGACAAATACGGCACGTAGGACAAGTGGGGCACGTAAGACAAGTGGAGCACGTATGCAAGTAGAACAAGTGTGGCAAGGTGGGACAAATACGGCACGTAGGACAAGTGGAGCACGTATGCAAGTAGGACAAGTGTGGCAATGTGGGACAAATACGGCACGTAGGACAAGTGGGGCACGTAGGACAAGTGGAGCACGTATGCAAGTAGGACAAGTGTGGCAAGGTGGGACAAATACGGCACGTAGGACAAGTGGGGCACGTAGGACAAGTTAAGCACGTGGGACAAGTAGAACAAGTGGGGCACGTAAGACAAGTGGAGCACGTATGCAAGTAGGACAAGTGTGGCAAGGTGGGACAAATACGGCACGTAGGACAGGTGGAGCACGTATGCAAGTAGGACAAGTGTGGCAAGGTGGGACAAATACGGCACGTAGGACAAGTGGGGCACGTAGGACAAGTTAAGCACGTGGGACAAGTAGAACAACTGGGGCACGTAAGACAAGTGGAGAACGTATGCAAGTAGAACAAGTGTGGCAAGGTGGGACAATTACGGCACGTAGGACAAGTGGGGCACGTAGGACAAGTGGGGCACGTAGGACAAGTGGAGCACGTATGCAAGTGGGGCACGTAGGACAAGTTAAGCACGTGGGACAAGTAGAACAAGTGGGGCACGTAAGACAAGTGGAGCACGTGTGCAAGTAGGACACGTAGGACAAGTGCGGCACGTAGAACAAGTGGAGCACGTATGCAAGTGGGGCACGTATGCAAGTAGGACAAGTGCGGCAAGGTGGGACAAATACGGCACGTAGGACAAGTGTGGCACGTGGGACAAATACGGCACGTGGGACAAGTGTGCACAACATTTTTGAGACGCCCTGTTTTGGTCATGTACCATACACTATATTATGAATATCCAGAAAATAGTGATACCATTTTTGCCGGCGAAACTTCTGTCAAATCCATGTAGCATTATCTTCTCATCTTCATCGGTTCCGTGAAATAATTTCCTTTCAACTTGTCTCCCACTGGAAATCATTTTCTTTGCTACTTCTGATTTCTTTGCCATGTATTGGTGGTATAAATTTTCATTTTGAATACGCTCGATCTAGAAAAAGGAATTTAAAAAACGAAGTATTACTTTACTCTTTCATAGCGCTTCAATGAATACGAATTAAAGAAAAAGGTACACCCGTAATATTACCAATATGAACCAATATGACGGACACCGGAACGTAGTATGTGTACCAGGTTGAGGTAAGGCAATAATTTCAGGTACAAATACTACGGAAGTCACTTCACTAGTTCCCGAACTTGTAATAGAACTAAAATAAGGGAAATTGAAACAAAATGATGACCTAACTCTAACCTAGTATACATACTACGTTTCGGTGTCCGCCATCTTAGTTCACATACTTCGGGAGTACCAGAATGAATTATCAGAGCCCTCTTTTAGGGCATCAATAATAAACTTTGGCTTTCAAGTTCGATTCTGGGTTGAAAATAAAATGAAAAATTCAATCTAACTCTCTATCTGGTTAAATTTGTAATAAAAAAATATCAGCAAAAAAAGCCTATTTATGTGTGTACGCTCACTAAAGGTCGTAATTTAGAAGTTATAAATTTACATTTTAATGTTTCAATTATCAAAGTAAAACTCTGGATCCAACGATTCTTGGTTGAATAATCTTTTGACCTCCGACTTCGGTCACAGTCTCAGGACCAGGGGTCGGCAGACTGCGGGCCCAATCCGGCCCGCGACGCTTCACTGAATTATATTAACAAAACAGCTGTATTGACGATTATATTCTTTACGTGACAGAATTTGTTTTGAGACATGAATTATATTATAACCTAACAAGTATATAATTCACAATCACTCGTTTAATGAGCCTGTTAATTGATTTTAATTAGACAAATGGCAACAAAATGTAAAAAAATTTGATGCTGAGTGCAAATGGTTTGAAATATTCAAATGATCAGTCTTCGCGCATTGCTTAAATGTACCTGAAATCTGTGTGAAAAATGAGATTCATTGGCCATTCTTTTCTAAAATATGTGCGGCCCGCCAATGATTTGCAACTTTTAATTTTGGCCACCGCAAACGACAAAGTTTGCCCGACCCCCTGCTCTAGAGCTAGACCCAAAGAGTTTAATACAGTCTTATTTCCCAAGTTCTCGTTAGGTAAGTAATTCTAGAAAATCAATATCAGCAAAGTTGGGGCGTGCCGAACTTTCGCTCACAGGGCGAGTTTCTGATAATAATGCCACTTATACATAACTTGAAAATGATTCGGGATATGAAAAATATAGGTGTTGCTTTACATGAGAATGAATAAATTAAAGGTCAAGTTTGAGTGAAATATTTGTAGTATTAATAAAATTAGCAAACTATGCAACAAACTCACATCTGCTGCCCCCTACAAGGTGCTGCCCGGGGCGGATGGCCCTCCCCTGCAGCGAAGTCATCGGTGTGTCTATATTTTGGATCAGCCACACTACAGTTTGCAAAAAAATAAAGGTAATAGCCTTCTAGCGACAACAACAATCTTTAACCACTGATTGGCCTAGTACAGTGGTTCTCAACCTTTTTTGGCTCGCGACCCCTTTTGATGGTTTACACATACCTTCTTGATTTAGCCATGCTGGTTAAGTTTTAGTAAGCAACACAATCTCCTTCGTTACACGTTGGCTGTAGAACAACTAGCTACTTCTCTTCAAATGAGAACGTGACCAGTGACCACATGCCCTTGAAATCACTGTAGCTGCGTTCTCGTATTTATCATTGTGATGTCATAACTAGTATTTGTCACAATAGGTCTACGTGAGATAAATCAAAATAGTTTTTGTAGGCTATTGTCACTTTGTCATAGGCAGAAAATGTTCGAGCGTATTACAAATAAAAACGATATTAAACTGCAAATAATTTCCTAAAATCTTAATTTATTCGAGGATCCCCTGGAAATGCTTCGCGGACCACTGGTCTAGTAGTTGAAAACAGAAGAGATTTTTCTCAACAACAAGAAAACGGATACCCGTAATAGAAACAACAACAACATAACAAAACAATTCATTCAGGCCCACTGCGTGTCCAACAATGTGGATTTTCCTATGGATTCCTATGGAATTTTCCACCTGCACAATCTTTTTACTTCCTCCGCTAGAGATAAATTTATGAGCAGTTACTCTGTATTCATGAGATCTTGTGTTCAGAATCACTTTCTTATATGCATCCCTGGCACTCATTCTTGCCCAGGTGTGTGGAATGACTGGAAATAAATAACAATAAAATGAGAATATAAGTGAGAAGCAAGAGAAGAATACTCGGAATATATAAGCACCGAAGGTCAAATGTCTATTACCGTGTTTCCCGGAAGATAATAGAGCGTCTCATTTTAATTTTCTTTCGAAAAATAACACTATTTTAGGGGATTTCATTTATTTTCAAAAGCAAAATTACAAAGTAGGGAATTACGAGATTTTCAAATAAACAAAATATGAAAACCGATATCCATTTTTATTTAAAATAGGTGATAACCTCGTCAATAGCGCGAATTTTTTGCAAAAAAGGTCTGATATTAAAATCATTTTTAAAATTCAGCGGCGGTTTTATTTTCAGACTAGCTCTTATTTTCGGGAAACACGGTATGGGGAGTATAGAACCAGCGATTCTACGTCCAATCACTGTATTATATCATAATGGTACCTGTAAGGCCTCATATGTGGAACAGATTTGTCGAAAATATCGACGGAATGGCCTGATGGAATATCACATAGATTCTCAATATGGGCAAAACGATCAAAATTTCAAATCAAAGCATTCGTGCCCAAAAAAGAATAAATGCCTGGAATTATACAAAGAAATGAAAAACAAACCGAGAAGAAATTTAATCCATGAATTGTTTTTTTTAAATGGCAAATAAAGCAATACAAAGAAACTGTCGAACCTGCAATTTGTTGAGAATTGTTGTCCTCCATCTAAAAGAAAAAGAAATCCCATTATCTATAATATTCTATGGGATACAGTGTATGTGTTACTATTCTAAAAAAACTTATGTTCACAATGAGAGAAAGCATTGCCTAGCATTTTCACCTGAGTAAAAAGAGATTCATACCAGTATTTCAAAACTAACTCACCGCCATTTTGAGATGTGCAGGCGAGAGGCCGCGTACACTACAAAAGCCGTCTTCTAACTTCTACCCCCAAATAAATATGTATATAGTCCTTTCGTTTTATATCCTCAAATTTTGACGCCAGAGTTAACGCTGGGCATTCCGGGGTTAGGTGCCTTTCAATTCTAAATGAGTGCTTGTGGCCTTGCTTTGAGCAAAATCTCACGAAATAGCTGTCTGTGCAAGCGGCCACTGATATATTACAAGAACTTACGAAATAGCAATACAAACCTCGTCATCAGAGCCCATTATTTCGTTAAATTCTTTAGCCGGAATCGCTTTACGCAGAGGAACGATAATTGCGTGATATGGAAGAGTTTTAAATAAACGGATTTCGTCAAAACTTCCATCACTCTCTCCGACATTTTTTTCCAGTTCCATGCCAACATGAAGTTCGCCAAACACTTGCGTTGGAGAATGACCTGTAAATGGAAAAAAGGTGGGTCACTAAATGGACGTTTCACCGACCCTTGACGTCAGAAAAATATTGGTTTACATGTCAAAAACCAACACTTTTTTATGAAAAAAAAAACGATTCCGGGAGTAACATACATTGCCAAGGCAATAGTTCCCGACCTTTTCTCTTCCATTGCATATTTTGGAACTTTTCATTCCTCCTCACAATGCATGAACTTTGTTTTCTTGATTATTAGCCGTGAATAAGGGCATAGCAACAGGGGCAGGAGCTGATACGGTCTGACCTGGCGATAACAAATTTTAAAACCCCCTTCGAAATTTTCTATCTATGCCCCTAGCTGGGAATATGTGCAACTTTCACTGAGCCTCCTAGTGTGATGTGTCTATGAATAAGTATTACAATACTATACTACTAAATGGGTACTGGTTAACGTATTCTAATACTACACTGTGATAAACTCTAAATTTCTTTTCCCAAATGATACAATAACGAGAATATCGGTCAGAGACCGAAGACTTATCGATCGAAGGTTAGGGGTTCCCCAAAACAGTGTCTTACTCCATAGTGACACCTTGTGCCTCATCACTAATTAATTAATAACTCGCTAATTATACGACATAATTTATCTAAAACCATTAGGCTTCTGGTCCGACATAGTTGAATGCATATGCAAAATCTGGAGCAGGTCCAATGTCGCTTTCGTGAGATATCGCGTGCATCTAACAGACAGACAGACAGACAGACAGACAGACAGACAAATACCTATCAACATACTTACCGATTAAAATCGATAAGTAATCAGCAATGTAATCAGCAGGTAATTCCCTTCATTTTTTAATATATCCCCGCCTTTACCTAATTTGGATCTGTCCAATCCTTACAGACAATACATCAAACTCTGTTAATACGTCATTAGCTTGTAGTAGGCGCAACTCGCACACTTGATTCAGCACAACTCGAATATTGGATATTGTGTGCGTAAATACATTTTACAATAATACTAAATAAGTAAAGAATATTAGTAATGCTACAAGCAAAACAAAGTTCATATAGTTTTAATGCCTTATTACATCGCTATGACGTCGTAGTGACGTTATTTTTGGATGACGCAGTAAGGTGGGGGTTAGGATTGACATATGCAAAAATTGTTATGCTACGCCCACTAGAAGTACATTTGGTACTGAACTATACCAGACCCGGGAAACGCTGCTTTATATAATACCCTACGTATACGCACCAATAAATTTAACTCTTCCTTTTGCTTGAATCTTATTTCCATCACGCTTGACGAACGCATAAACTTCATCGTCATACCGTATACTGATATCTTTGAGTTCTTCTTCGCCTGCTCTGTATGATTCGCCTGTAATGAGAACTCAAGATATAAAGAAGCAAGCCGGTAAGCGTCAAGGATTTCTGCTGATAGTTGAGGCCCACACTCCAGCAAACTGTTACGATCCATGCAAAATTGCAGACTATCAGTGACAGCGTACTGCGAAATTGCCAGTTCATTTGAAGGCTGCGCGTCTCAAAATCAAAATCCGACTCGTTTAAAAAGTAATTTTCCGTGGACGGTAATCGTTCGTTAAAATTTTTTTGTGTCGAACTAACAAACAAATTTCCTCATTTCAAAAAATCATGCCAAACTAAAACAAGAAGGTCTCACTGGATATCATAACATTCCAGGACTGGTTTCTCGTGAACCCGTGCGAACTCGCCCAATCCCACCGCTGTACATATGCGTAACCCTTTTAGCGAAAAGGGTTCGTCCCTCCTGCTCTACTTAAATTCGTATTGTTAACAATAAATACCTGAAAAATCTCTTTCGGGAAAATCACCAGTTTCTTCGTCATCAGAAACTAAAACTAAAAAAAAAATTTAGTTTTTTATTTGATAGAAAGAGCAGTTCGCATGTGTAGTTGAAAGCTAAAACTGCAAGTTGGAATTAGTGTGATGTTTTCGTTAGTATTAGTGGAGCCGAGTGCGGTTTTTCATTTTCCAAATTGAGTTGGATGTTTCAACTTAAATTGAATAGTAACGTCAAGCGTTATATTTATAGTTAACTTATTTTTTAATTCTAGCAAGGTTATGCAAAAGAAGCTACTGCCGGGAATATTAGTAAAAATACCGGAATTATTTCGGTTCAGCATCCCCTACCCAATTTATTACACCCAGGGTGAGGTGACATTTGAACCCAAGATTTGAACCTGCGATGCCATCAGAGTCGAGTCTAACGCTTTAGCCACTACGCCAACTCGCAGCAATTCAATTTACAGTCAAACCTGGAATCAGTTTCAACTTAGACGGATTGAATGGGCAGGAGTACCAATAATTGCAATCTGAACTCGGGGTTCAATGTAGCCTTCTATATTTTTCCGGAGTCGAAACACGAACAATAAATTTCCGGAGTTGAGAGTCGAAATCCGGATGTCAAAATTTAAACAGATCTGTGCGAAAGTGGAACAACTCAACAAGCACAAAGGGCACAAATGTCAAAGTTATCGGAAGAAAATTGTTGTAATCTAAATTCGAGTTCGACATGCCATCGCCTGCGTAATTAATTACACTCGGATGAAGTGGCGGGCAAGAGGTCTCACCTGAGGTTGCAATTGAATTTTAAGCCAGATCAGATATCAGTTATAAAATTAATTCGTATCAAGAATCGGAATAAACTGATCTCTGACTTCACTGTCTTGGAGACAAAGAAATGAACAAATAGACGCTCCTTACCATTCTTACGATCCAATCCAAGTAAGTAATCTTCAAGTCTCAACTCTTCCAATGATTTATTGCTGTATTGTTCCATTGCAGTAATGATTTGATGTTTTGTTGTTACATCCTAAAGTATTATTAGTTAGATGAAAATGAATTCTCCAATTTTTTTAACCGAGTTGTAATAAATTGGGAATGTTGTACTATCAATAAAAAACCATGTTGAATACACTTCCTAAGCGTGCCCGCGTGCTAAATGCGGTCCACAATCAAAAAGGTCGTGCGATCCGCGGAGAACTGCCAATTTTAAATGGTGTGCTGCCCACGAAGCTAGTTTTTAATTCCGTTTATTCTAGCACATGCGAGTAATTTGAATTTCGTCGCGGTGCAAAGTCTATTTGAGGACCATTTTGATATGCCAATATAATTTCATACAATACATATAGTAAAACACATTTAACTATCCCAAAGTAGTATGTGTAGAAGTATGTGTAACAATATGGCGGTAACTGATTTGGCTCGCCTATTCTACATCAATTTGTGTTAAAGGACTGAAACCTATGGGCCGGGGGGTATATCTACTTGGCTAACACAGACAGTCCCCGAACTCGTAAAGAATTAAAATATGAAATATCTGAATAAACTTATGCCCCAACCCTAACCTGGTACACATACTTCGAGAGTACCCACAGGAACTTCTTGGGACTTTGTAATGTTTGGTTGGGGGTTCGCTCCAACAAATAGTTTAAAAACCACTGGTATAGAGCATTATTCAAAGAAGGTTCGGGAAAAAATCATGAATACGATCTAGTAGCTAATGTAATAGAGCGACAGAGGGCAAAAGAGCTCATTTTTTTTTAATCCACGTGCTCATATACCTGTATCATTCCACTGTTGTCGTCATCCAGACTCTCTGATCCTCTCACAGGAACGAAGTCAACTGTTCCAGTACCAGGGCATGTCCAAGCACACTTCAGCTCTGATGAAATAAAAAATTGCATGTGAATTATTCTTTTTTTGGGAATCATTTGCTCCAAGAAAGTATAAGATTGATCTCTGAGCGGCGGCAACTACTAAAATTCCAGGAGGTCTTGACGCTATAAAGAACTGTACTGTAAAATTGCGCGTCAGTGAAAACGGGCTGACGAAAGACTTGGAGCAGTTGACGCCAATACGGTCAGAACAACAGCTGTGCATCTCCGATTCGAATATCATGCTTGCTACCTCACCAAGGGTGTGATAGGTTGGGTAGTCAATGGCCCAACACAAATAATTATTACAATCAACGGACCTCCTGAAGTATGCGCACCAAGATGGCGCAAAACCTGAACATAGTATGTGCGTACAAGGCAAGATTCAGGTTGTGCAACATCTTGGTACGCATACTTCTGGAGCACCCAATCTACACTTACTGCATTCTTTTTGCATGAATTTTGGCGATTCAAATCGATGACTTTCTCGACCAATTTTCCTTAAATCTAAAAATTATATAATATATGAATGAATTATGCTGAGTGAGAATATTCAATTTGAGAGACAATATAATAGATTCCGTGATATCAAATCACAAGTAAAACACATAGTCCCACTTTATACTACATATAGATGTGTTTTTTTATTGTTACTTTCATTCATTTTTTTTCTGGGCTTTGTAGGATTTGTTTTTCACTTTAAAATTTTGTGTGATGATGTCTTCAAAAATTAAAATTACACAACGTGTCGCGATTTTTTGATCGCATCTCAGCGCTATGGTGGTCATGGTCAGAATGTCGGTACTGCAAAAGATTTGACACTGTGAAAATACTTCGTTTTGACTTTCGTGCACAAATTTTATTATGAAGTTGGGCTGTGGTTTGCTCGTCTGTGCCTGCCTTGATACAGCGACGAAAAAAATTCTCTCACATTTTATTTTTTCTTCGTCATTTTCGTCTCTCATTTTGCTAGTTGCCAGGAAATCAAGTAAACGTAATTCTTCCAACGAGTAAGATTCGTAGTGCGCCATGGCTGTAATGCATTGCAGTTTTGTTGTAAAATGCTTCTTCATTCGTCCCGTCTCGTCTGAGTCCAAATTTCTCATTTGTCCCACCTCCTCTACGGCCAAATCACGCTCAGGACGAAATTTCGATCCGAAGGTTCCAGTCGGATTCCATCCTGCGGTAGATATATAAATTATCATGAGAACTGTGACGCAACAATTTGAATTTGGTTGCTGTGTTAACCGTGAAGCTACCGTTCGAATTTCGTCAGTCGATGGCACATTTTTCGATCCGAGTGTTAGATTTGACTCGATTTTATTTGTGGGCTTTCAAATGTGTTTCATGATGTGGATCAGCGGTTTTCAACCGGGTTTCCACAGAACTCTAAGTTACCATCGAAATCCGAAAGTATATATTAATATATCCATCTTTATGAATATAATCAAATATCCTGTTTGTTTTGCCACTATACTTGCTACACTCTGAAGGTCAGTTTGTTTTGCCACTATCAGGTAAGCTTTCATGTATATTTATAGTTATTACAATTCTAGGCGTTGGTTAATCATTCGATAGACGAAAAACTGTACGAAAGCGCACTATATAGTTTAGGCCAGAGGCGGTCAACGTTTTGCTTTAAGGGCCGCATTCAGAAAATCCATTCTGCTTAAGGTCGCATTGGGGAAGTTCTATCTTTTTGTTGGCTACCGTAGTTGAATCGGAAATAATAAAAAAAAACATTGATATTATTTAGATATTTTAATGAAAATGAATCTGAATTTTTATGTAAGTTAGTTGTAAGAAATTTTCACAACTTCTTCCAACAATATGCTTTGGTGCGACGCATGCGGGCCGCAGTTTGCTCATCCTAGTTGTCAGTGGTTTGATTCAGGGGGCACTCCAATACAAAATGTTGATTTTTGAATGAACGTTCTCCCAAGTTAAGTCGAACAACAATCTTTAAATAAGCGTATAAAATCACACGATGTTCAAGAAAAGCAGGTGTGGAGGGTGAACAAACTACGCCATTTAAAATATCTAAACTATGAATTGGTAAAATAATACTAATATTTTATTAGAGGCAAAATCCCTCTAATTCGGAAAATGTTCATTGCTCCATAATTCAAAAATGCCGTTTTAGATTATATTCTTTTCTCACCGACACAATTTGCCTTAATATCAAGCAAGCAGTAAAGTATTCCCCTCCATATCCAGTTAGAAATCTGTTTGGATTGGTCAGTTTTTTATTCAAACTCATGTTCACAAAATATTTTACGAATAACTGATAAATTTTCTGACATATAGACATCATTTTTTGTAACACTGTTTAGGCTTGTTGAAGAAAAAACGGTCATAACATCAGGCCATAACATTAATATTTTGTTATCAGGCATAGCCAACCTAAGATAATAGATCTCGCATTCGATTTTTAGTTTTCTATGATGCCTATGTTGTTAGCATATATTGCCGACCATAAAGACAGAATGCCTGTTAATGGTTCAGACAAGCCAAGCACATCATTCAACTTCGCTAGTCATAACACTAATTCAGTGACATTAGTGATGTAACAACAAATTAAATCAAATAATTTAACTTACTTTTCTCAACTCCCATTCCTGATAGTTTGTTGCAAATTTTGCTCATTTCTTCGTCATCAATAGGTCGATTGTAGGATTTTTTCTGACTTTGATTTTTCAAACTGAGACGCTGTGTATTGATTACTAATTGAGAGCCTTGCTTATGAACTCTTCTGGGCCTCGCACCGCGGTGTTGAAATTTGGATTCCCTGTATTCAGTCATTGCCAAAGTATTTTTACTTCTGTATCACATTGTAGTAATCCTAATTTTCATTGATGTGTACCTGTTAAAGTCATTAAATTTAATGAATATTTGTTCAAGATAAAGTCTCCTGCCCAACTCACGTAGAAGTGAACGAAACTTAGACGCGAGCTACAATATACTATTAACAATTTATATTACAGTATATCCAGCAATATAACAGATCTGTTCCAGGGTTGCCCGTCCAGAGTGATTTTTCACGTTTTTCGCTCAGTACAAGGCCCATACAGTAGCCATTGATGTCTTATCTACTACTGTTTTGGAAGGACGAAATTCTCCCCGGTTCGGTTTTGCCTACCTAATTACATACACCTTGGGTAAGGTAGGAGCATGGGATTTGAGCCCGAGATGTGTAATCTGCGATGCCACATAGTTACGTCAAACGCTTCAACCGCGAGGTCAACCAGTATATTTCATTCAACTATATTTTAACTTTCCAATACCACACTTTTCCACTCACACGTGCGGGTGGGATAAGATTTACATATTTATCCTGAGGGAGAGAAAAGCCGATAAGACGGCTCAATCGTAGGACGAATCACGGTCTCGTGTTCGATTAGCAGTCCATGTCGGGAATGGGATTAGTTAGCAAGTTATTTGTTTTCAGATGCGTAGCCTTGATGTCTTCCATTTATGCTATTAGGTTAAAATTATCACTGATGAATCACTATATCAAAAGGCGGAAAGAATTGCCTTCTGTATTTGCGTTGCCTTTTTGTATTCACGGCATAATGCTCTTGTATTAAAATGAAGGTCACCTTTTTGTAAATTCATATTTCGACTTCTAACACCTCACCAAACCATCGGCATCACAGGGTATTCTTAACTGAACTACATTCTGGCTCGTAGTTACAACAGGTGTATCCGGTCGAAAACTCTTTCTCAAACGATAACATTCATAGCCTTGAGTCGAATGGGGTTGCCACACCAGGGGTTTGTATTAAGTGTTACGTTGGCGGGGCTTCAGATTAGGAATTGAGTTCTCCAGCCTTCGACGCCGACGCGGTTGATTGAAACGTGAAAACAATAGCTGTCTTCGAATATCATTTAACACAATTTAAAAATGAAACTAGCAATTTTGGCGATTTTAAAAGAGTCTTCAGAATGCCACTATAGCTGAAAATTTGTCAGGCACCTGCTGCTCAATCTTCTATATCTAACTTCTATATTGGTATCGCGAACAAGGAATTACAACAAAGAATTTAGCTATTTCGCGCTGAAGTGTATAAAGCCCTATTAAACCCGAATGTTATCACCTACTTCTTCACGTATGATTCCAGCTCTAAGCGTTATTATTGGTTTTTAAGTATAAATGATCCCAGGTTCAAACTAATTGCCCCCATTACTCAACAGCAGAAACTGGGCATTCCAATATATCCGCGATTTGGGGCTCCCGGAGTATGCGAACCAAGATGGCGGACATCGGAATGTAATATGTGTACTAGGTTAGGGTTAGGCCATAATTTTAGGTATAAATACTACGGGAGGCTTTTGGATGGTCTTCGAACTGATAATAGGACTAAAATAAGGAAAATTGGAAAAAAATTATCGCCTAACCCTAACCTGTTACCCATGTTGCGTTCCGATGTCCGCCATCTTGGTTCGCATACTTCGGGAGCACCCGCGATTTTTATTGAAAACACAGCACTACAGCTCGTGACTAAGTCTAATTGCGCAGATACCTATTCTGAGAAGAAGCTAAACACACGTCATAAAAAAGAACCAGGCGAGCTGACTAACAAGGAACTAATGACGTTGTCACATTAGCGTAATCGCCAGAGTCAAATTTTTCTCTTAGTCATCAATGACTTATCACAATAGACGTACATAAACTAAAGTAGGACGCAACGTGTGATGACTGCCTCATTCCTTTCAATTCTAAATTCAACGCAGGTTGTCATTTGTTCCAAAACTTGGTACTCCCGTAGTATGTGAACCAAGATGGCGGACATCGGAAAAAAGTATGTGTACCAGGTTAGGGTTTGGCCAAAATTTCAGTTACAAATACTACGGGAGTCCCTTGGCTATACCCCGAACTCGTTATAGAACGAAAATAAGCAAATTGGAATAAAATTATGGCCTAACCCTAACCTGGTACACATACAACGTCCGCCATCTTGGTTCGCATACTACAAGAGTACCCAAAATTTGGTACAGTGGAAACTCTACCTACGAAATTAATTTGTTCCGGAAGCCGGAACGTAAAGTTTTGTAAGTGAGGACGCATTTTACCTGTAAATGCCATAATCCGTTCTAAGCTATCAGAAATATCAGAAAAATAAAGAACAAAAACTACGAACGTTATGTATGTTCACCTTTGGCGTTGGCCGACTAGGCCAAGCTAAGACCGTGGATAGTGGGAGGACGGCGGTGGCGGTGAAAGAAAGCGTTAAAAGTTGACAAGTGAGAAAGAACGTATCGCTGATTCAGAAAACGTCATAATCAAATTAGTGAACCCGATTCCCAAATTTCGATCCGCCATTTCGAGTCGATACTAATTTAAATATTTCTTGTCGACTTTTATGATTTTATTTTTGATTATAAATTGCTATCGTCAACTTAAACCAGGGGTGGGCAACATACGGCCCGCGACGAGATTTTGACCGGCCCGCTGACTGTATCCAACCACACTCTGTAATGCGGTCCGACGCATCATTCATGAAAGTTGCCGATCGCTCTACTTTCACCGCACTGTCAGTGCGAGCTGGTGAAATAAACAATTGCCTTAGTGAACAAACAATTGTGTTAGCACACTTGTTGAACAAACAATATAAGGTCAGAGCAGAGAGCGTTGTAAACACTCCCCACTACTGTTATCAGTTATATATATATATTTGGAACTTAACTATAAAAATATTTTAGAAATCAGATTTAATATTAAGTTTTATTAACCACAGAATAACCCAAGAAACGTAAAGTTGACAGAGAGTGTCGAGCATTTAACAAAGATTGGATACCGAAGTATTTTTTGTAATAATCCGGCCCGCGGAGGGCTTTATTCTTTCAAATCTGGCCCGCCGAATAGAGAAGTTGCCCACCCCTGACTTAAACTGAACGATTTTGTCATCAACGATGCCGGGATAACGATAAGATACGCGATAGATACTAAATAGGTATTTTATATGCTTTAAATTGCAGTAAAATAAAAACTCCTCCGTTATGCTCGATCACTATCGATACTGAGGATGAAACATAATTAGTTACGACACAATTTGCTTTTAGATCCATTGTCGAGGCCGCATAAATTAGCTTGACTAAATTAAATGATACGACAATTATTGTAAAATATTTTCAAACACGGCTGCGCTTGATTACGACAAAAAATGAAACGAGAATATCGGTCGGAGACCGAAGACTTATCGATCGAAACTGCGGTTTTGATTCATGACTCTATAGTGACACCGCGCGTCCCATAACTAATTAATTAATACTTCGCTAATTATACGACATAATTCATCCAAATGAATTCATCAATAGGCTTCTGGTCATAGATATGATGAATGCACATGCAATATTTGGACCAGATTCAACCACGTCTTCGTGAAATATCGCGTGCATCTAACAGACAGACAGACAGACAAATACCTATCCATATACTCCATCCATATACGTTATGATCTAAAGATCGATAAGTATTAATTGTAAAATGTTTAAATACAAAACGTGGACGGCGGCGCCAGAATATGTGCGCCATATACGGTATTCTTATAAATACGAAAAACGATATTCGAAGTTCGCGATTTTCGATTTTGACATCGCTGCTTCAATCACTGCAATAAATTAGGTAACCTGAATTAAACAAACATCCATACACGCGTTTTGTGTTTTGGTGGTCGACCTTTCGTATGTCAAAAATATTACGTTGGTAGAAGCAATATTTTTACCAAAATAATTTTCGTAAGTTGGATATTTCGTATCCAGAGCCGTTCGTAGTTTCTACTGTATTATCTTTGGTGTCGCTGCTCGATAGACCAGCTTTGGTGCCCCGCGGCTTACACTCACGCCGCTGGCATTGCGTCTGCAATCAACAAAGTACAGAGCTTGGTACTCGTATCTCCGCCCCGAATATGACCGCTACTAATATCCGCGACATTCTTGTGCTTGAAAGAACTGCGACAGTGGTTCCCAAACTTTTTATTACCGTTATACCTAAACCGAATCACCAAAAGCTCAATTACACCTTTCATAAAAATACAGTAGTCATATCGTTACCGTATTATCTTTGAACAAAAGTGGTGATAACACTAACACCCAATGCATCCTCCGATCCGACTTTAAGATGCTAAACTTGCACCAGCTCAGCATTTTAGCCTACAATCAGTACGGCGAAGTATTGTTATTATGGGTGACCGTACATTTGAACCCACGTACATTTGAACCCATGTGTATACCCGCGGGTTCAATCTATATGTGGGTGCTAAAACCCATGGGTTAGGGTTAGTATGGGTTTAAATATCCGCAAAATAAAAAAAAATTCCATAAGTGCAAAAGTATGCAGGTGCAATTGTCGTGGGTTCAAATGTACGGGAACCGTTATTATGTCCCTACGAACCGTGTTAGTAAATGACTAGGCTCATTAAATAAATGCAAGCATTGAATGTCCAGCTTTTTTCAGATTTGACAAAAATTGGGGAATACAAACAAGAGTTCTTGAAACATCGAACCGCTGGATTACTCCATAAAACTGCCAAATTACCCCTAAAGGGGTAATTACCCCAGTTTAGGAACCACTCAACTTGGGTCTTTTGAACACTGGTTTTATAACTCTCCTAATTTTATTACAGAGTATAGAACCACTATCTTCATATTGCTTCACCACTATTTTCTGTTATGTTTTCAATTAATCTCTCCTCTGATCATGCTCATCTTAAAAATGATGGAGCAATCATTTAAACTAACTTATACTAAGAGAGGGGTGGGGCAATATCCAATATGTCCATCATTGTCGACAATAAATGACAATTTGCGTGTCGAAAACATTACGGCGGACTGTTTAATTAAAAAAAAAACAGCAGTAAACAGAAATCTGTAACCGTAGTCATACCAACTCTCATTTAAACATAACCTGTAAATATACGTAGGCGATTTCTCATTCGTGCAGGCACATTATCAACAATTAAAAGACATGCGTCATCAAAGTACTTGTGTATTTAACGAGTTGCATCGCATCGGAGGCTTACACTGAATGTTTAAACAAAGCGGTGCCGGCAACGTAAAGTATATTCAAAGGAATAAATATTTGTTTAGTCAGTTTCATCTCGTAATGTATCGAGTACATTATTTTAGGGTGTGGCAAACACTCCCCTTTCTTGTTGCACCAGCAATTCACTACTAGAGCAATCGGGTCAAACTTTTCAGTTAGAGAAATGAGATCTCATAAATTCGCAGGTGAAAATTTTAGGTGAATAAGGCTTGTTCGTATGTTAGTACTTGTCGTTCATACGGAATGCCTCAGATAATCGAATACGGCACACGCAATATCCGAAAACCAACAAGCTAGAACAAACATGGCACGATCTTTATCCAAAATCACCCTTGCGAAATATCATAGTCCTGGTGCACAAAATTACGCCATTTATAAGCACCATTATTAAATAATAAAATGCGGTGAACCAGCAAACGAATTTTCATAAAATATCAAGTGCGCGTCACCATATTTTTCATTGCACAAATTTACTACTTACTAGCGTGAAACTAAATACACTTGGAGAGGAATCCGACTGAGTAAATAATTATAAATGTTTTACTGGCGTCGGGCTATTCAACATATCACCGCGAGGTCAAGAATTTGGTGACCGTACATTTGAACCCACGTACATTTGAACCCATGTGTATATCCACGGGTTCAATCTATATGCGGGTGCTAAAACCCATGGGTTAGGGTTAGTGTGGGTTCAACTATCCGAAAAACAAAAAAAAATCCATAGGTGCAAAAGCATACAGGTGCAATTGCCATGGGTTCAAATGTACGTGGGTTCAAATGTAATGGAACCCAAGAATTTAATTACTTTCTCTAAACAGAAAACACTTACAACCGTATAAAAGTGACACGATGGGACCTTCACCCTGTGCAAGTAGCCAATAATATACCCATTCGCCATAGTGGATGGGGTATGAGGTTAAAAATATTTTATCTGCTATCAGAATAAGGCTTTCTAAGATGTAATTTGAAATTATGTGTGCATGCTGGTACTCCCATTCATCGGCCTGAAAGATGCTACAGATATTAAATAAACCAGAAGATCTCAATCTTTATCGCAAATGGGTGGGTATGAGGTTAAAGATATAGCACCTACTCTACCAGAATAAAGCTTGCTAGGGTGTAATTGGACACGTAGTGGACATAGCGATCGTTTCAATATTATGTTGTTGTTCTTGTTCTTTGACACGTATTTAAAAAGTCGTTTTTCTCGTTGATTACTGGACCAATTGCTTTGAAACTTTCAGTGGTTAAAGATAAAAATTTTCTTCAGAAGGCTATTACTTTTTTTGTTGTTGCGATGACGTCATCAAAATTATTGCCATTAGTTGACGCTACGTGTCCATATATTTGAGCATAGCTCTCTTGTTTGTTATTAGGTACATATGCTGGTACATCGACGTAAAAATACAGGTTCCCGTACATTTGAACCCACGACAATTGCACCTGCATACTATTGCACTTATGGAAATTTTTTTTATTTTACGGATATTTGAACCCATACTAACCCTAACCCATGGGTTTTAGCACCCGCATATAGATTGAACCCGCGGATATACGCATGGGTTCAAATGTACGGTCACCAAAAATACATATATATATTATACCACCTACATAAAACACTAAACCAGTAGGTCTCGGCCTCTATCGTAAATTCCTCCTTCGCCTATCCTGAACTCGCATACCTCATTCACTTTGCATTTAAATGTACTTTAATTGTTAAATCTTCATTGAATCCTTAGCGAGTGCGTTTTAATTCTGAATTTTCCTGACAGAATGGCCATTGTAATGCTGCTTCGTGTTTATTTCTATCGAGCACATTTAATATCATTGTGTATTCGTCGGGGATATTTTTACAAAAGAATGCTGGAACGCTTGGCGTACATCGAATAACAGTTAGACAATGGCAGAAAGATAGTATATCAATCTTGCTTTAATCTCGACGTTTCAACATTCAATAAACAATATTACGATCAATCAGGCTTAATAAAAAACGCTCTTCCAATTAGTTATGTTGTCAATATCAAATTTTTTCTGTAACCAAAGCTAGCTCACAAGCTTCCATTTTTACTGCTTGTTTGATGACTTACGCACATGTAATTGAGAGGCTTATTCACGCTATTCGCTTTGAACAAGGTAATATATAAGCAGCCTGATACCTAACGATAGGGTTACCAAATAGAAATGAATAGACGCTCCGAATTTAGGTTTTTTGTGTACAGCAAGAGGAATAAAGAATAATGAAATAGTCTGCCGTTTTCAAGTATTGAGTATTTACTTATTCGCCCAACCGTGCTTTTCTGTTGATAACACCTTCAAAAAGACGTTGTTCAAATTTACATTAACGTGAACGTCCAAACAGGACCCACTATAAAATTGATTTTACAAACAACGAAACAAACAAAATAACGCATTCACCTTCAGTAAGTAGGCTAACGTTGCGCTACACAGCAACAACAGTAACGAAAACATGTTCGTCTATTATTATGCTGGATGGCTGAACGCCAAAGCGGGACATTTTGCCGACTTGTCGGAACGGCTGGACAAGACGCTAAAAAGCGGGACTGTCCCGCCTAAAGCGGAACGTATGGTAAGCCAACCTAACGATATGTGAGGAGCTACTCTTATTTGGAAGGACCGGAATCTTTCCGATTGGACATTGCTTAATAACTTATTACACCATGTTTGAGGTGAGGGCATGGAGCTTCAACCTGTTAAAACGTTAGGGGGTTAGGGACCATAACGCAAGGATTTGAAGCTAAATTTTACATTGCAGTTACTTACATTCCCTACCCAATATACTACACCATGGCGGGACGTTGGACTTGAACTCGTTTACCATTGAAACGCTAGGGCAACGGTTCTTAAACGGTGGGGGACGTAGACGTTTTTCTTTTTTTTTGTGGGGTGGGGGGGGGGGGGGTTGTGAAGCTAATTAGAAATATTTATCAGATTTGATCTTGCCCGCAAATTCTGAAAAGGGGGCGCGGCCCAAAAAGTTTGGGAACCAATGACTACGCTAGGAGTTTGAACAGCCAACGGCCCATAATGCAAGAATTTGAAATTGTATTCTACACCGAAATCTTCCGATTCTGCATCGCCCATACGATTTAATACACCATAAGATGGGATGGCGAACCAGGGATTTCATCAATTAAGATACTATTAACATGTTAGGTATTGGTGAGTCATCAGTTCAAAGTCCCCATAAGGCAAGAATTCTAAGCTGTATTCTATCGCATAGAGACTGAGAAACATTGCACATATAAATTTTATTTACAATGATAAAGATATAAATTCAGCATGTTGTGACTTAAATCTCAACTTGTGCCAAAACCGTCCGGTTCTTTACAGCAACAAGCGTCATAAAATACAAAGGGATCCAAAATAAGACAATTCCATAAAATTGAATGAGAATAAAAGCACCAGGGATTCAAAAATGGAGGTTGTTTCAAAACAGGGCTGTGAGGCCGAGATTGGAATGTTCTCAACAGAGTTGGAAGGAGTCGAAAATTCAGACTACCCAGAGTCTGAATAAAAATATTAATTTTCACAGTCGGAGTTGAAATTTCATCCTTCAATGATAATAAAGTCAAAATTTTCTTCAGAAACTAAAATGGTATCAAGTTTACCAAGGGTTAGTAACAGTATATTAAATAATGCTTGCATACACCAAGTTTTTGCCATCAGAATTAAATTTTTTCCCAAGTTTGAAGCTGGAGTCAAAAAGTTTTATTGACTCGCATTCAAACTTGAATTTGTCTCAATCGGAGTCGGCGGTATTGGTTTTTGTAAGAAAGATCCAGAAATTTTTTTTTGAATGTCCACAAGTGGGCAATCATATGCATTTACTATGTGAATGTGTTTGACCCACTTCAGGTATATATATATACAAAGGGACTTGCAGGCAATTTTTATGGAATTGTGATTGAATAATCCAAATGTATAAAGTCACTTTATAAAACATAAAACGCTTGTGTTGTGTGCTTCCACTGAAAAAGTGCATTTGAAAAAGATAAGAGGAATAGTTAACTATGATTATTAATTGAAAATCGTGTGTCAGGTTTTTCTAAATACATACTACAAGAGCAATGAAATAATAATATAAATTGCTATAAACACCGAAATAAAAGATTTGAGCGGATATATCTTTGGCAAAAGTTACAGATACAATGAAATTAATGTTTGGATGCCATTATTGATTTTTTTACCGGTTGGAAAAAATAAACTTGACTTTACATTATAGTTTTCAAGTGTGAAAATTTTTTACTTTTGGATAAATATCTATCAACTAAGATATTTCATAATACAAGCAAGAATATAACAGCATTATACACAAAGTACAGGGTGTTCATAAAGACCTGTTGCAATTTCAATTTTGTTGTGAAGTCACTTCTCAGTATATCTTAACCAGGTTTGTTATATTTCAATCAGTGTTTAAGTTTTTACTTCATTTAATAGCTACACCAGTAGAAGGGACCAAAAACTATTTAAAAATTAATAATAAATTAATTTTCTAATAAACCTCTAGGAATACCCTGTATGTTTGAAGTAAATGAAACAAAATAATCTCAAAATTCAACTGCATTGAAAGCACCGTTATCAACCACATTAGCAAAACAAATTTTTGACTAGAAACACCCACATTGCTATATCTATAATAGTGTTCACTCTCAGCAGGGACTTAATAACGAAGTGAACCAAATTTAGACAGACAAAGTCGCAAGAAACTACTGATTAAGCACAGTAAACAAGTGGATAATGAGCTTATTGATACAATTTTTCCAGATGGCAAATTAATCTGATTCTTTCCACTACTTATGCATTAAAAACAGCAATTCAAATTTAGGCTTTTTTGGCTATATCCTTTGAGATATTGCTAGTACACTGCTTTATTAAAAAAGATTGAAGAATGTAATATATCTAAGCTATTCTGTATTTATGCATTTGAAATATAAGTTCGAGTTCTGGTTTTTCCTAGATTTAAAGTAGTTGTGTCTTGTCAGGAAGGGGAAACAACACTCTTTTCAAGCTACATTTATGAATGTTGTGAAACAGAGAACTATCAAATTCTTTCAAGAAGAGAGCATGCTCCATAAAAACCTTTGTGAATGTTGTTGATCGTCAATAATATGTTTTTACAGCAATAAAATAATTTGGGAAGCACAGCATTTACAAAAGAGAACTCAGTGGAAGCACACATTGAATACACAAGCGTTTATTTAACCTCATCCACCCCCAGTTCGCCTTGGGGGAGGTCGATAGCGAGTGCTTGAACTCGTCCCGGTTAATGGATTGTAATCTGAAAAATAAAATTTGAATATGAAAAAATCAGCTCAAGAGTTGGTGACCAAGATAAGAACCCTGTGAAACTATGATAGTGAAACCAGCTTATAAAGCTTTTAAACATAGATCCTGATGGAAGGGGGAAGGTTTTCAGAATATAAAGGATGATTTAGTATATTTTAGTACTATACATATGGAAGCCTTTTTAAATTTTCCAGATAGTTATCGATAGTATTATACCTATATACCCCAGACTACCAGAGGGTATGTTTGTTTTATACAATTCTTTGGTTTTTTCCTTATTTGTATCTGAAAACCCATTTTGTCTATGAGATTGCTTGCATGTTATACATATAAATTAGTAGGCTTTTATATTAGATAGCATCAGAATTATTTTTTCGCCTTCCAAACAATAGCAGATCTGGCGTGCTAGAAGTATGTGTACGAATATGGAGGTAACTAATTTTGTTCGCCTTCGGGTAAGAATCGGTTTCGTATTTTCAAATTCTGCGGAATACAAGTACGAGTCTCAATTTTGAGTTCCATGAAGTCAGAATATTTGACTTTTCATGGTGATGAATTAAGTCAAAATGTATAGAAATTACAGCAAAAATATATTGGAAAAGCGTTTCTAACAGTCTACCTAAGAACACTTGCATAGTTCTAAATATTTGTTATCAAAATTTCATTTATTATTCCCAGAAAATGAGCTGGAGTTGAAATATTTTTAACTTATAGTTGTAACTGTGGAATTGTAAATCTATTGTAAATATTTTCCAAATCCACAGCTCTAATCTCATTTCATCATTTTATATGAAAAGCATACCTTGTTTAATTAGTTTTAGTGCAATGAAAAATCCTGAAAAATAAACTTACCATTGTCTCTCAAGGGCTTGGCTTTGTCTTTTGATCCCAGTTTTTTAGCAGTAGCATTGGCAGCCTGGATTTTATCCTAAAAAACAAAGTCATATACTAACTGATTGCAATCACTTGACTCGAAGAAAATTGAATTGTGCAGTACTGTAATATTACTTTAAGCATAATAATATTCTAATGTTAAAACACATATGCTTGAATGAAGCAACAATTTAGCATGACATCAAAAATTTTATGGTGGACATGAGGTGCTCCTGAAGTATGTGCACCAAGATGTCGCATAACCTGTAACCTAACCTGGTACACATACTATGCTCAGGTTGTGCGCTATCTTGGTGCACATACTTCAGGAGGTCCGGACATGACATGGCTTTGCAGTATAGCGTTAAACCAACTGTTTCAGAACACAATTTGAATTGAAATCTCATGCCAACCACATCACCGCTAGTGTGATAAATTGGGCAGGCAATGCTGAACCAGAAAGATTTAAGCTAGAGGTAAGATCAGGCTTAAAAGTTCCAGCCCGACCTGGACCCGTGGGTATTGAACCGGACCCGAGCCCGAAGCAAACCCAAAATTTAATATTTTATTTAGACACGAGCCCGAACCAAACCCAAAATTTAATATTTTATTTAGACCCGAGCCTGAAGCAAACCCAAAATTTAATATTTTATTTAGACCTGAGCCTGAAGCAAACCCAAAATTTAATATTTTATTTAGACCTGAGCCTGAAGCAAACCCAAAATTTAATATTTTATTTAGACCCGAGCCTGAAGCAAACCCAAAATTTAATATTTTATTTAGACCCGAGCCCGAAGCAAACCCAAAATTTAATATTTTATTTAGACCCGAGCCCGAAGCAAACCCAAAATTTAATATTTTATTTAGACCCGAGCCCGAAGCAAACCCAAAATTTAATATTTTATTTAGACCCGAGCCCGAAGCAAACCCAAAATATTTTATTTAGACCTGAGCCTGAAGCAAACCCAAAATTTAATATTTTATTTAGACCCGAGCCCGAAGCAAACCCAAAATTTAATATTTTATTTAGACCTGAGCCCGAAGCAAACCCAAAATTTAATATTTTATTTAGACCCGAGCCCGAAGCAAACCCAAAATTTAATATTTTATTTAGACCCGAGCCCGAAGCAAACCCAAAATTTAATATTTTATTTAGACCCGAGCCCGAAGCAAACCCAAAATATTTTATTTAGACCTGAGCCTGAAGCAAACCCAAAATTTAATATTTTATTTAGACCCGAGCCCGAACCAAACCCAAAATTTAATATTTTATTTAGACCCGAGCCCGAAGCAAACCCAAAATATTTTATTTAGACCTGAGCCTGAAGCAAACCCAAAATTTAATATTTTATTTAGACCCGAGCCCGAAGCAAACCCAAAATTTAATATTTTATTTAGACCTGAGCCCGAAGCAAACCCAAAATTTAATATTTTATTTAGACCCGAGCCCGAAGCAAACCCAAAATTTAATATTTTATTTAGACCTGAGCCTGAAGCAAACCCAAAATTTAATATTTTATTTAGACCTGAGCCTGAAGCAAACCCAAAATTTAATATTTTATTTAGACCCGAGCCCGAAGCAAACCCAAAATTTAATATTTTATTTAGACCCGAGCCTGAAGCAAACCCAAAATTTAATATTTTATTTAGACCCGAGCCTGAAGCAAACCCAAAATTTAATATTTTATTTAGACCCGAGCCTGAAGCAAAGCCAAAATTTAATATTTTATTTAGACTTGAGCCCGAAGCAAAGCCAAAATTTAATATTTTATTTAGGAGTTCTTTAAATTCCACACATAGTTTTAGTATATATTTTTTATAAACATATATTAATTTAAATAAAAAGTCAGCTATAGAGAAGCCAAACCCGAATGTAATGATTGACATTTCAGGCACGACCCGGCGGGCTTTAGATCTCAGCTCTAATTCAGCCCTTCCAAAATAGCAGTTTCTTACACAATGTTAGCTATCAGTGGCCTCATTCTAAGAGTAAAGCACACGAGTAATTTTTTAAAACTTACATTTTGTTCAACTTTCCTCTGAGTAGCATGAGATGATTTCCCAGCCTGCATTGCATCATAGTCTTCAAGCTTTTCTAGGCGTTTCTTCTCTTCAAGCTTAAAAGGTTATGAACATTAATAAGCAGGCTTGAATGGTTGGCAGCCAATTCAATTCTCCCGTAGTATGTGTACCAGGTTAGGTTAGTCCATAATTTTATTCCGATTTTCCCTATTTTAGTTTTATTACGAGTTCGGGGACTGTGTGTGTTAGCCAAGTGAATATACCCCCTGCCCATAGGTTTCAGTCCCTTTACACAATATTATATAAAGTAGGCCAACAAAATTACCGTAGTTACCGGTACCCCCAAATTGGTACACAAAGTTTTGGAGCGCCTGTTAATGAGCCGGCTTAGATGGTTGGTTTGGTAGCAAATTCCATGAGGGCAAAACCAAGGCCTAATACAGCTCTGAAATCAAACCTACTATCTATTTGGCATCCCAATACCAATATTGTTCCACCATCACGGCAATTCATATGGTGATGGTACCTTATAAAATATATCTATCTCTACTTTTAATCAACTGCACTAGCATAATATACACAAATTAGCAAGCTTACAAAGAAATCCAGATTTATGGTGCAGAAAACCATTGTGTGGGCTTAATCATGGCTTTCAATCCACGAAATAGATTGGTAAATGCAATTTTGAGTTGTCTCAAGCAATGGGAAGTAGCAATGGAGTAGAAAACCTATTATGTTGACTTAATCACGGGACTACTATGGGAGACTATGGCCTTTCAATCAACCGAAAAGATTGCCAAATAAAATAAATCGAGTTTTTTCAGGCAATGGGCAGCTGTTTATTTCAAAACTCCAAAATGCATGCACACATATTAAAAAGAAAGGATTCTGAAAAGCAAGTCTGTTAAATCCCCATACAGGAAGTCTTTGGGTTACGACGGTCGCGACTTACGAACGCACTCCATTAAAAATATAAAAGATGATACTGAACTGTACAGTATTTGCTTTCATTCATGTGATATGAAATTGTTTTCTGTTTTTTCAATAAAGTACTTTTTTGCATTATTTGTACATTTAATTACAGTTACAGTACCATACTTTACAATACAGTGCGATATGTGTAGAGTAATTTATGCAATGTACAGTATAATGTTCAGACTTACACTGAAATTGGGGTTACACCACGTCTCGAGAACGAAACAACATCGTAAGTCGTGGACTCCCTGTACTTATAAATTGCTACTAATTCAAGCATAATTATTTGACTGGCAATATGAATCATCAATATTAAACTAAGGAATGAACAATAAAATTTATCCACCTCTTGCCTCCTCTCTGCCTCCCTTCTTAGAATTGCAGATGCTTTTTCCTGCATTCTTTGTCTGGCAAGTTCCATTGCTTCAGCTCTTTTAGCCAGAACTTCAGGATCTAAGTAGCAAAAAAATATTTGAAATAATTGAAGAATATAGTTTTTAATAGTGAGCTACACAACCTTCTTTGAAATATTCTATAGTCTCCCTGCATGATTGTGAAATTTTTATAATATTCGGGTTTCTCAAGTAAAAAAAGGCGTCACAATAGGTCAATCGGCACAATGCATCTCAAATATAATATCAGTAGCTACTCGTATCTCGATGGCCGCCTGTAACTTGTCTAATATGTTGTGTTTCTTTCACATTTGAGTGAGTTTGAGTGACCTCAATTAAAGAAATTTCTCTTGTAATATTCTATATCAGCGCTTCTCTGACTGCGTTCTGAGAGCTTCTTCGAAGCGTTCCGTGGAACAGGAATCGAAATTGCGACTTAATTGGTCGTCATGCCAAACTCGGTTTCATTTCGGCAACTCTGGATAGTAAATTTGCCTCCAAAAAGGCGGAAAGGGCCCTGCTATCTAAAAAGGCAGATAGGCCTAGCGCCAGTCTAAAAATCATGGAGTTTTCATTAACCATTCAATATGGTTGACTTTCTTTAATAAGAGTCAAATTCACAGCGAACATTTTAATTTTAACATAGGCTAAATTATTTGAAAACCATGCATTAATTTATTTTCTAATTTCTTGGTGTTCCGCGAGGCAAGATAAAATACGCTCCGGGGCCAAAAAAGTTTGAAAAACGCTGTTCTATATTATACAAGATCATTTTTAATATTGCAAGTCGACTTACCATTTTCCACTGGATCATTTCGTTCTTTCGCTCTTTCAATCATTTTCTTGACTTTTTTCTCAATGTTACTCCATATTATTATAAGTAGAACAGCAATTACCATGAGAGTCCATCCATATGTGGCAAGAAATGATGTTACTAAATACAAAAAGTGAAAATTATTATTTTCAAAATGATGGTACAAATTTTTAAGAGGTGTTCAACACTGCTACCTCTTTAAACTATTAAAAGATTTGCCGTATTACAAACGTTTTTTGATGATGCAAATTCATGTTTTGCATATTTTGCCCGAAATATGGGGGTACCAGAAATCGTCTCAGCCCTGATATAAGTGGATCAAAACTACCAACCAAGAATTATGAGACTTGTGAAAAATATGCAATCAGTCCAAACTCCAAAAAATATAATTTTTGATCCATGCATTGAAAACGGTTCGACAAGGTTTCTTCTAAGTCAGACTGCTGTTTGGAATTAATTTTCATATCTGAGCAATCCACGTATAATTTAATAACTTCTTTACCTACGTTATCATACTATCATGTGGCTTTGAAGCCAACAAAATCATACTGCAACATCACATTACTCACCTGCATAGTAAGAAGCCATCATCACATTGGGATTAATATTTTTCAGGTCAATTTGTTCCTCCACAAATTCATCTTCTACTTCCACAGTTGCATCGTCCACCTCAGCGGCCATTTTTAGGCAAAAAAATAATATTTATACAATATATAATTCAACTGAAAATCAAATTACACAATATTTTCAGTCAATTCATTACTAAAATACTTCCTCAATCAAATCCGCGAAAATAATAACAATAATAATGATATAAGTTCAATCATGCGCACCTGGGCATCATTTTTAGGACTAAGAAAAGATTTATGCACTACGTTGCGAAACAAACTAAAATTCAAATTTACACATATTACTCTTTTCAACATAAAACAGTTCTAAACCAACATAAAATAAAGACAAAGTACCATCATGCACATCACAAATCCAAAACAAGATATCCAGTACAGAGAGCGTTCATAAAGTCCGCTCATAATTTAAATAAACAAATCATATGATATCGAAAAATTCCATTTGCATTCGAAAAAAAATTTAGTCTTCATGAACGTACATTCTTATTTAAGGCAACAAATCTTATCAAAAAATAAATCCCACAAAATTGACAATATAGTTGTATAAGCTAGTTAATCTTGCATATCGAAAAAAAACTCTGAATGTGGTCGTTAAAAAACTTTGCAGCGATGCAAGCAGTTTTATCACACATTTAATGACACATACATCCTGTCCCACAGAAATTGATTCATAAACATAAAACAAATTAACAATTGTTTTAAATTTAGAATATCGAAAAGGCATGCATTGACATAAATTGGTCCAAAAAAAGAAATGTCAGAAATATATTGTAATAGGAATATAATTACTAATATTTCAATTAATAACTTTTTTCAAATAAACTATTAGGCTATCAAGAACATCAGTCTTTTTTCGATTTCATGAAATATATAATCTGCAAAGAAAAAAATGCACATACAAACGGTCTAATGCCACCAAGACAGAATTGTAAAACAAACGCAACGATGTGTGAGCAGAATAAGCAGCATTGCCAAGTCCAATTCGACTGTTCAGAATTATACTAAACAAGAAACGTACATTAGCACATTAATAACAACAGTTTAACGCTCTGATTCCAATATTGTCTTACAACACTCTTATCCAATAGCTGAATAGTGCTTCAAAAATGGTAAGCAATAAATCTCCGATTAAAAAATGCCAATCAATCACCAGCAAATCAATTTAGTGCACCATCATCCTTAAAAAATTTGCTGTTAATTTTTCAATCTTTTTTACATCGTTAGCATGTTCTGTTTCATACTGCAGTCTTATTTGATCGTCTGTTACTGTGATCACAAGATTTCCGTTGCAGTGTCTGTATTTTATTGAGTATCTGACATTAAAGGGATCACTTTGATAAAGTCTTTCAGCAGCTTTTGCAAACTCTTCCCAAGTTTCGATTTTTGTCATCTTTATATTCTATTATTATGAACTTTTAGAGACTAAAACCTGATAATGTAGTAATCAATGAAAACATAAAATCAGATACCACTCTGGCATAAATGAATATACTAAGTTACTACTGGGACTGCTTGAATAACACCAAACAGAAATAGGTCTGGAATTATTCATGATTAAGTCAGTCATTTCAGCTTTTGAAAAAAAAAAACGGGTGCGAAATGAAATTCTACACAACCTACAATAGGGCAGGTCCCTTGCCGAAGATTGAAATAAGGTACGGTAAATCGGTACGGTACCGTACCGCCTAAATTTAAAAAAAGCTGAAAAGTCAATCTCGCGCTGGACGCTACCGTAGGCTACCTAGCTTTTATGAATACCATTCATCCTCTTTTTTAATCAGATTGAATTTCAACACCAGTCTGCCAGTGGGAATTTTATATTCAGATCGAACTAATCAGTTTGTTAAAGGCAGGTTTATATATGAAACAGTAATACATTAACAGGAAAAACATAAACTAAAATGCGCTTCATTCCTCAAGCACTTGCTGAGAGACACGTCAAGAATCAGAAGCGTCTATCAGCGCTTTGGTGGAGTGTCTGGAGTTCCAGATAACTCCGAGTTCTGAAATCCGGAGTGGATGTTAAAAATAAGAAATGCATCGTTCTCGTTTATCAACAGCCTAAACCTAAAAAAAAACCGCAAGCTTGCGACTGTCACAGAAATGACTATGGGTGTCCTAGAAGGACTTTTTTCCGGATGTAAGTAATATAAAAGTAACTTAAATTTCGGATACCTACTGTAACAACTGTTGATCGTTGCGTGCTTGTATTCGGTGAAGATATAGATCTTGGATCTAAGCGCAATGTCGTTTGTTGAAAGCTTAGATTAGGGGTCGGCAACCTACGACCCGCGGGCCGAATCTGGCCCGCGAAGTAATATATTCACTGAATTATAGTTACGAAACAGCCGTTTTGACGATTATATTCTTCAGACTAAATTGTATTATAACCTAACAATTATATAATTCACTACTACTCGTTTAATGAGCATATAATTTAATTAATTATAATTAGACAAATGGCAACAAAACGCAGAAAAGTTGATGCTAAGTGCAAAGGCTTCAATGACGCTGAAAATACTCAAATGGAATTTCATGAAATGCAGTGAGGAAATAAATCTATATTCTATTCGATAGATGTATCACTGCTTGATTTTTATTATAAAAAGTATCATCCGTTTGGTTTTCAACTTTCTTAAAATATGTGCAACCCACCAATGACTTGCAACCCTTAATTTTGGCCCGCGAGCGACAAAAGGTTGCCGACTCCTGGCTTAGATGATTCGTCCCGATTTGATTTTTGAGGAAATCGTTTTTTTTGGTTCGGACCGTCGTCGGATGCGGACGTGGCTACTTGAAAAGACTGAAACGTGTGTGGTACATTCACTGCGACAGAATGCAATAGTCAGATATTCATATACAGCAGTGGTTACCAACATTTTATTTATCTTCAAATATTCGCGGAACACATATCACAAAACAAGAATCTTTTTTACTCATAAAGCCATTTTGCTATAAAATAATGAAAACCAAAGAATATCAGAATAGAGGAAAGAAACCCGGTTGTCCCCGCCTTACAAAATTATCATTTCGGAAAAGTGCGATAGTCGAGCGTGAAAACATGGTTAATAGTTACCGATATTATGTCTGTTTTCTTACAATAGGGTACACGAGAGCGCCTTCGGAGCAACTCAAATTATTGTTAAACATGCGCGGCTGCACGGGTACTACGAAATTTTCGAACGCATCGCCGATCACGCGCTTCCCAATTTCAAGCTAACAATATTACCGTTTCTAACGCCGGAATGCGGATATCTATGAAGACGATAGTTGACCTTCTTATGACTTTACTTTTTTATTGTGCCTTTTTTATTTTCGTATTAAATAGTGAATGAAAACCCGGTAAAGTCATTGCATGAATTTTAATGTCATTTTAAGTTTAAATAATTTTTCAATAAATGGGCAGTAATGGCAATTCTACTAGTCAAATAATGATTCCTTGGTAAAATTTGGAGAAAATTTCGCACAATAATTTTTGTTACCTTGTTTGACATTTTCAATTTGACGAAACGGTGTTGGTGGGATTTATGCAAAACTTAGAATTAAAACAATGCCCAAATACGACCCCTCAAATTTGTCGTTTCTGTTTGTTAGCAAGAGCCGCGGTGTAATTCTAGCGGAATTCAGGGGATTGGAAACTACCTCATATGATTTGTGAAAAACACCCTCGCTGCGTTTAGTATTACAGATTGCGCTTGCCCTGTTTTGAGTAATTACGCGTTCTGTAACACAAATCCATGAAATCGCTGAATTCCCATCAATGAATGCACTACATCAATGAATAAAACTAAATAATTACTAGAGCGGTATCGGTGGTGTTTTTCTGTTGTGGCTTTCTACACCCAACAAAGCTCTCTATAAGCTCACTAACTATCCCTAAAAATTTATTTTTGAAATATTCAAAACACGGCATTGCCTACTCAATTTATCACCCTCTAAGTTGGTTTTGGACATGGTATTTGTATCCGCGACTTTTTAGCTGACATTAACATAGTGAGATCCGGCGATCCCCCTCGGAAAATTTTCAACGACTTTTTGATAAAAAAATTGAGGTGCTCCCGAAGTATGCGCACCAAGATGGCACACAAACTGGACACAGCATGTGTACCAGGATAGGGGTTTCAGATTGGGTGACATCTGGTGCACATACTTTTGGATCGCCAAAATGTATCCCTGTTGAACCTTTTGTGTCTGCACTTGACTTAACCAAGATCTTAAGGCATTTGTTCCGAACCCTTTTCGTTAAATTTCCCCTTTGCATTTTGAAACATAATCTGTCCTCTCTCACCTTACATAAATACTATTTTATTTGTTCAATTTGTATTGAATCCTTATCTAGTAACAGCGCGAGACGCACTCACACTTTGGTACAGTTTATGTCAGGGTTGGCCAGTCAGAGACCAAGAGCCGCATTTCACACTTTATTGCCGCGAAGAGCCACAATATAAACAAGAACACATAAAACGAAAACATGAACATCAGATATATCATAATTTATTTGTGACGTAATATTGGAATATTGCATTGTAAATTGAATGAAGTCGTTCGTGTATCTTCAACACAAAAATTCACGATGAATCGGAATTTTTAAGTTATTTTTTCCTTGAAATAACCAATGCGAGAAGAGCCGCATGCGGCTCGCGAGCCGCGGGTTGGCCACCCCTGGTGGTATTCTATGCGTGCGTTATCGTGAGGCATTTCACCTAAGTGCCCTCAGGACTGACTGACTGGTAAAAAAATGTCATATTTTTATACAACCTTGTTCACGGATTTCGCCCCCAATAAGGCTTTATATGAGCAGTCACTGATATATAACAAAAATGGCTCTCCCGTAGAATGTTAGCCGGAACGTAATATGTGCCGTAATTCTAATCCAATTTTTCTTATTTTAGTTCTATTGAAAGTTTGGACTAGCCAAGTGACTTCCGTAGTATCTGTACCTAAAATTATGACCTAACTTTAACCTGGTACACATACTACGTTCCGGTGCTTGCCATCTTGGTTCACATACTACACGAGTACCATAAAATGTAAGAAGCTACCAGGGGCGCTCCCGAAGTATGTGCACCAAGATGGCGCACAACCTGATAACCCAACCTGTTACACATACTTTGATCATGTTGTGCGCCATCTTGGTGTACATACTTCGGGAGGACTGAAATATTTCTAGTAGGGCATTGTCTTATCACTATGTTGGCGGTGGTCATTGGGGCCGGGGTATGGAACCTATTTTGTCAAAAACGTTCATACCAGTGGTTCTCGAACTCTCTTAAAGCTCTCTTAAAGAAATTCGTCAACGGTTGTTAGAGCACGAAGTATTAACACTTGACAAAGCTCTTCAGATTGCAATTTCATTAGAGAGAGCCGAAAAGTTTGCCAACTCCAAGAATGTGCGAATGACCAATTAATGACCACATTGTCAGAAAAAGAAGTATCTGAAACTGTATCAGACACAGAAGAAAAACGTGATGACAATTTCAAATCTATAGCAGTGACATCGAGAACTTCAAACTTCGATTTTGCTGTCAAAAGGTGTGGTTATTGTAGAGGTGTGCATCGCTTAAAACGTCAAAAATGCCCAGCCAGAAATGTTTATTGCTTCAAGTGTGGTCGACGTGGACACTTTGCAAGAGTACGTAGATCTTCTAATAAAAATCGTGACAAAGTTGAAAACCCACATTTAGCTGCTGTTGTACCTAGCAGTCTAAAACTAGCTCTTGTTTCTGCAATAATCTCTGGCAGGCAAGTTGATGCTCTTCTCGACTCGGGCTCTTCTGATAATTATATGGCTAGCAATTTCGCGTCTTCTCTTGGGCTTACTCTAAAAGGACCGATGTCTAAAATTTCACTAGCATTAAAGAAGTCCGAAGCTCGTATATTGGGATCTGTGACAGCCGATATTAAGGCTAATTCCCGAACATACAAAGATGTCAACTTTGGCGTAATAAATAACATGTGTGTGGATGTTATATTGGGGCATAACTTCATGAGCAAGCACAGAAGAGTTATATTTCGGTTTAATGGCGCTTATGAGGATCTAAATGTCGAGAAAACCTGTAACCTAACTGCTGCAAAGGTTAGTGAACCTATTCAGATTTT